ATTAAGCGTTATGTAAACTTCTTCTAAATATTGTGATACTGTTAGTGTATTCCACTCGTTCATAATTGCATTAATTAATGCCCAACTCCAGTCGACAACGATAACTGAGAATAATGGCCAGCTAAAACGTTTAGTTCGCAAAAAATGTCGGAATGTTTTTAAAAATATGCTAATTGCATTAATATCGTGTACTGCGGTTATCATTTCAGCTACTGGAAGTATAGTACCATTCTTATTAACAACGATTGCATAATATAGAATGCGTTTGCACTTTATACCTTTTGGTTTACGGATAATAGAGCCAGTAGCATCAAAATGAATTATAATGTCATTTTTATCCAATACATTAATTTGTTCCTTTGTATACATATATACATGGAATGGCAAACCTACATTTCGTATATATGGATCATTAGATTCTTGATCTACGAGAATATATTTCTGAAATAAATCAGATAAATCGTATGAAGAAAGATATGAGTCATTTTTTTTATTTTCCTCAGATTTTGTTTTTTGATAAGTACTAAGTCTACGCAATTCTTCAAAATATCCATCATTAGCAAGTTCATGATCCACATTTTCCAATGTTTTTAATTGCAACATTCGAGGAGATATATAATTCATTTTTAACTTTGCCTGATCTCGCGATTCACCTTTTAAATTTAAAAAAATAGGTGGTCCTTTGTGCAATATTTTAGTACATTTTGTACTTGACATCTACTACATCAACTGACTGACTACATCAACAATAGCATTATTTAAATTCCCTATATCAAACTTAAATTGTTGTACATGACTGATGTATCTGCACTTTGCGTATGCTACTAAACAATCACTGTTACGTCGTATTCCGCCATAAAACTTTAACGGACATGGAAAATGTAGCAAATGTACCATATTGTATTGTATTATTTCTCGTATTTTATCTCTGTTAATGATTTCATATTCGTTAAAAATGATATTTCGTTGAATATGAAATCGTCCTTGCAAAATGGAAAATTTCTTTTGTACTTATAAGTTCACGTTCTTTTGATGAAATTGTATGGAACTATCACTATTGTCGCTTTTACTATTAAATGTATTATCGCTATTACTTACGCAATCTATGTTATTTTCGCATTGCATATCAACATCAGTCAACTTTTTCTTGTCATTTTTTTTATGAAATTGTATAGAACTGTCACTATTGTCACCTTTACTACTAAATGTATTATCACTATTATTCACGCAATCTATGGTACTTTCGCATTGCATATCAATATCAGTCAACTTTTCCATGTCATTTTCATTAAAAAGTAATTTACGCGTCGATCTTACAGTACATCGCTGTGGTGTAGCTAAACTATTGTGTAACGGTTCATAATTTATTTTGTGTAACGTTTCATTATAACGTTTTGAAGTAGTCTCTTCATGTACAGATTTTGTCATAATATTCGTAGATTTTGTATCTTTGGATCGAGATTGTAATACATTTAGTACAATACTTCGTATATTTCCCTGATTGTTATTCCATATCCTTTTATAATTCAAGAATTTCTTTCGATCAAATTTTTTTTTCCGTTTTTGAAATAGCTGGAAAAACAAAAATGCATAAATGTAAAATTAGATATGAAATTAAACAAATATAATACATAAATGTAAAATAGAAAAATTTTTATAATAAACTTACTAGAAGAGGCCGCGTGATGTTGCTCTCGGATTTAGATCAACTTTTTACTATTTGTAGGGGGAGTGCCCTGCGTGCATACCTAAAATATTAGGTGTAGATGGCCAGCCATTCGTTAGTAATTAACAAAGAAACATTTTATGTCCGGTAAATTTTTATATTCTAACTCAATTTACAAGGTATTCCCCAAACACTACAAACTTTTTAATAATTTTTTCGTATTCAGGAAATCAAAATCTACAAACAACACTATTCCTTCTACTTAGACCTTTGGAGGCAAAAATCGATCATTTTTTATTATCTTCTCTCAGCTAAACTAGAATGTAAAAAAAGTGATCGATTTTTGCCCTCAAAGGTATAAGTAGAAGGAATAGTGTTTTTTTGTAGATTTTGACCTCCTGAATACGAAAAAATTATTAAAAAGTTCGTAATGTTTAATAACACTTTGCAAATTGAGCTAGAATATAGAAATTTACCTGGCATAAAATGTTTCTTTGTTAATTACTAACGAATGACTGGCCATCACACCTAATATTTTAAGTGTACTCAGGACACCTCCCCCTTTCTTACAAATGGTAAAAAGTTGATCTAAATCCGAGAGCAACATCACGCGGCCTCTTCTTGGTAGTAAAAGAAATTATAACTTTAAGTATGTAATTAAAATTTTTCTATAAAAAATTATTATTAATTAAAAAGATAACATTCTTATCTCTTTCTTCTGTAAATTCTTTTCAGTTTATATATATATATATATATATATATAATATTTAAAAGAAGATACTTACTAATTCGCAAACAGATCCTTTCCCACAAAAATCAAAGTTAATATCTTTTATGGAATTCACCAAATTACATAACATTTCTGCAAATTTCCTTATTTCAATAGAGTTAATTTTTTGTAAATTATCCATTTTACTGTTTAGATAGCAATATTAATCACAAAGTACGTATAAATGCATACGCAACAACATAACACTTTTGATATATAATAAACCCCCCTTCTATTATATTTCGAAAAAATAAAATTTTTACAGAGAATCAAACATTTGTGCTACACAACACCGTAGAAGCCAAACGTTGGAAACAAAACAATATCGCTGGAATTATCGTGAGTAAGACAGAATCGTCTTTTGTTTCCAACGCGTAGCGAGTAGAGAGCCAGGAGCGTAGCCAGGAGTCTTAAAATTGCATCCCCTATTTTTTATTACATATTCTTGTAGCTTAGTTCGAGAGCTTTCCAAAACACTATAATAAAATATTGTTTATGGAGTATTTTTCAAGTCATTTTATTATCATAATCTGATATTTTGATACCAAATACATAATATCTCGCAAAATATTAATTTTTCGATAATCTTATCTTAATACATTTATGCACAGAATAATAAGACAAGTCGATTAATGTAAAAAAAGGCACGGTTGCTTTTAACAAAAAGTACATTGTAAATTACACATTTTGTGTTAAAGACAACTGCGTTTTCTTTACACCAATCGATTCGTCTCATTATTCTGTGCATGAAAGTATTAGGATAAAATTATCAAAAAATAAATATTTAAGGAAATATGTTATATTTTTATATTAAAATATCAGATTATGATAATAAAATAACTTGAAAAATACGAGTATATAATCGTACTGTTTGGTATGTTGTGTAAGAATGTTAGGAGCTCCTCTATGCAAAAACACAAGGGCGACAAATCATTCGTTGAGATGTAGGATCTTTTAAGTGATTTTAAGGGTTGTTTTTCGAGAGTAAGAGTGTCTTCCGACGCATGTATCAAATCGTACTGTTTTGTACGTTGTGTAAGAATGTTAGGAGCTCCTCTATGCAAAAGGACAAGGGCGACAAATTATTCGTTGAGATGTAGGATCTTTTAAATGATTTTAAGGGTTGTTTTTCGAGTATAAGGGTGTCTTCCGACGTATGTATCAAATCGTACTGTTTTGTACGTTGTGTAAGAATGTTAGGAGCTCCTCTATGCAAAAGGACAAGGGCGACAAATCATTCGTTGAGATGTAGGATCTTTTAAGTGATTTTAAGGGTTGTTTTTCGAGTATAAGGGTGTCTTCCGATGCATGTATCGAATCGTACTGTTTTGTACGTTGTGTAAGAATGTTAGGAGCTCCTCTATGCAACAGCACAAGAGCGACAAATCATTCGTTGAAATGTAGGATCTTTTAAGTGATTTTAAGGGTTGTTTTTTGAGAGTAAGGGTGTCTTCCGACGTATGTATCAAATTGTACTGTTTTGTACGTTGTGTAAGAATGTTAGGAGCTCCTCTATGCAAAAGAACAAGGGCGACAAATCATTCGTTGAGATGTAGGATCTTTTAAGTGATTTTAAGGGTTGTTTTTCGAGTATAAGGGTGTCTTCCAATGCATGTATCGAATCGTACTGTTTTGTACGTTGTGTAAGAATGTTAGAAGCTCCTCTATGCAACAGCACAAGAGCGACAAATTATTCGTTGAAATGTAGGATCTTTTAAGTGATTTTAAGGGTTGTTTTTCGAAAGTAAGGGTGTCTTCCGACGTATGTATCAAATCGTACTGTTTTGTACGTTGTGTAAGAATGTTAGGAGCTCCTCTATGCAAAAACACAAGGGCGACAAATCATTCGTTGAGATGTAGGATCTTTTAAGTGATTTTAATGGTTGTTTTTCGAGTATAAGGGTGTCTTCCGACGTATGTATCGAATCGTACTGTTTTGTACGTTGTGTAAGAATGTTAGGAGCTCCTCTATGCAAAAGGACAAGGGCGACAAATCATTCGTTGAGATGTAGGATCTTTTAAGTGATTTTAAGGATTGTTTTTCGAGTATAAGGGTGTCTTCCGACGCATGTATCGAATCGTACTGTTTTGTACGTTGTGTAAGAATGTTAGGAGCTCCTCTATGCAACAGCACAAGAGCGACAAATCATTCGTTGAAATGTAGGATCTTTTAAGTGATTTTAAGGGTTGTTTTTCAAGAGTAAGGGTGTCTTCCGACGTATGTATCAAATCGTACTTTCTTGTGTGTTGTGTAAGGATTTTAGGAGCTCCTTTATGCAACAGCACAAGAGCGACAACTCATTTGTTGAGGTGCAAGAATATTTTATTTGATTTTAGGGGTGGTTTTTCGAGTATAAGGGTGTCTTCCAACGCGTGTATTGCATTAATCGTTTCTGTACTTTGTTTTTGGCCCTCAGAACTTGCTCTATGCAAAAGGGTAATGGCAACAAACCCGTTTTTAGAAAATCGCTCCTGGAACGTTCCAAACTTCAACCAGCTCATAAAACGCCGATGTGACTTAACAATTTTGGTATTTGGCAAATTGGATCGTTGGCCGAATGTTCCTCAAAACGAATTTAAGCAGAGTTTAGCAACCAAACGTAAACCGGGATTTTGCGAGATGTTACACTTTTCGAAAACAATACCTTCGGTTTTCTCGTACTCGCGCAGGTATTGCTCTTTAGCATCATCGTCCGCGCATTCACTCGACCATCCGCTTGCTTCCTGTTTAAGTTGTAAAAATGAGTTTATATATTCGGCGAACAATTCACCCTGCCGTGTTTTGCGATTATATCGACTAATTTTATATTGCCAAATTTCATTTACTTTAGTCACGAGATAACCTTTTTCGACGGCCTTGCGTAATTTGCAGTTCACCCACGTACCCTCGAATTCGCGTTCGTTAGGCTCGTGCGTACACTTCGTTTGCGAAAATGTTTCACAACAACTACGACACAGTGCGAATAATAATTTTCCGTGCGCGCGATACGGGAGTACCGGATGAAATAAATCGCGCGGAGAAAGTATCGTACAGCGTACGAGACCTTCAACGGTGTCAAAATTATAATTCGGAGCCGTACCGATTAAAGTCGAGCATTCATCGCCGATATAAATGTCGGGATGACCGATAAGGAAAGCACCCGTCTTCAATACATACGGGTATAACGAACATACGTCTACGTAGCGTATTTTCTCCGCACCTGTGATTTTGTAAAGAATCGCGATATTTCCCGTGCGTCCACCGAAAAATGCGTCGCGAGAATCGAGCGGTGCTGTTTTCACCATCGGATGACTCTCGAGAAATTCGCGCATCTCACGATTATCCCGCATTTTTCGATCAAAGCTACACTCCCACTTTTCCGTCAGCGTGTACCCCTGTTGGCGAAGTCGCCACGAGATTGCGAGAGTTTGCTCGTATCGCGAGTCAATCGTATCTCTTTGTTCCTCAGCCGACGAAAGCGGTCTATTGCGATTTATAGGAAAGCACGACGTACATCCGTGCCAAAAGCAACCGTGGAATTGCAACACGTGACGCAACGTTACTCCCGTTTCCAATGTTTCTTCATAATAACCATCGACGAGTGTGCCGTCGATCGTACGGTATTCGCACGCACGCCCTGCGTGGTTTATAGGATCACCTAGCTCGCGCTCCTTCCATACTAACCACTGTAGAGCTTTGCGCGAATGTATGTTCGCTTTTCTGTATCCGCCCGCAGGAATGACGCCTATCGTATTCGGCTGTAAGAAGTTTTTCCGAAAAACTGTTATACACGTTAAAGCAATAGTTGTACATTCCTCGAACGGACATACATTTCCGCGATCTATAAAAATTTTTCTAAACGCCATGCACGCTCGTCGAAGTATATCAACATCGGTACGGCAATATTGTACTATCTTGCGTTGAAAATCAAACACTGTGTTTTTTAACCGCATGTCCGTATGCCACGCGAGAAAGCATTCGCGTTCTTTCGATTTCATGGTTTCGGGAGAGTAATAATGCGCGTCGGGTAATGGTCCGACATACATTTGATTTTTGATAGTATTGAATAAATGCGGAAAATACCTTTACCCGATGTATCCTTCAGCCCAAAAGCCTTCGGCAAATCGAATAATCGCATTGGCATATAATTCACACTATCGATAGACTTTGTATGTCCAACTGTTAATACGACGATTTTTGTCTTGTTCAAAATCACTTTTGGCGCGAGATTGACACGATTTTCTACGATATATTTCAAAATAAATTGAGCGTCGAACGCTTTCGCATTGTGGGCTATGCAAATTATCTGTTTAAAATATTTCGTCCTTTGCGTAGCAAAATCGACAAAATATTTCACCGGATCATTACGAAATACGAATTCTCGCACTCCGCACCAGCGACAACGCACGAAGATATCGTTGTTTTGCGCGCACGCTTCGCAAATTTGATGCGCTACGCAAATTGTCGGGATGTGTCATTTTATGGACGTCGTATCTTTGAGCGTCTCGTCCTGCCGTGTTTCAAAATCATAAAACACAAATGCTACGCGTCCCTTTCTAACTGTCAATGCCGATTTGCTCGCTTCTTCGTTATCATTTATGTTTTCTTTCTCCTCGACGGATACATCTACCGTCACTGTCGTCGCTTCTACCTCCGGAGGATGTGTCGACGACGACGGCTCGGTAGAAGAATTAACATCGTTGCGCAGAGGTCTCATATAACACAAATGAGGTTGCTCCGAATGGCATAATCTGCAGTAAGAAACGCCGCATTCGTGCTTCGATTTCACTTTAATTATACATTCGCATTTATTGCAAAATCGTATGACGCTACAAACAGTCGCGAGCAATTTACCGTCATAAGATTTTTCCCTACGATGACGCTCGAAACACGAAGCACCGAAAAACGTCCGATTGCACGCGTCACATTTTACTATTCGCGCGTCGTCGGAGTGTTTGCACGGCGGCGCGGTAAAACATCGCGGACATTTATTCGAGCACCGGTGACCGCCACCTCTATCGTTTCGGAAGCCTTCATTACACGTTAAGCAAAAATTACGAGAACCCGCAGCGGCTTTTAAATTTAATATAGGATTAAAATGGCGTGAATTCTCATAATACATAATATTTAGTCGATGAGAGGATTCACGCCCAAGAGAAGCGAGTATCGCTGTACCGTCATAGTACGGTTTCGCGCCGTGACCGAAAGTACTAAAATTATATATAACGATAGTGACATTGACCGCGGCAAGATATCACTGAAAACGCTCAATTTCACGAATCCCGCAACCCTCTTCAGGAATTATTACTCCGACTTTTCTAGTTAATTTCAACGCCCATTCGCGTTGTAACTTCGATTGCGGGCGTCTTACTTTGTTCCATTTCTCGTGCAATTCCCCCGTACGTTGTGACGTGACATTTTTTTTACTGTCCGTCACAAGGGCCGAAGGCTCGGCCGGGAAGGCGGGAAATTCGGGAACCTTTGCTCTCTCGCCAATCTTTGAGAAAAAGAGAGCACCCGAAAAATCATTTTTGCGTTTTCTACCGCGTCGGAGAATGCGCTCCGCGCATCCGTTTCGCGAATTACTTTATTTATAATTTTTGTTTAAGCGACTTTTGCGTTTTCGGCGAGCAATTTTGCATAGGGTACGTGTCTCAACCGGAGAAACAGAAAGAGAGAAAGAGTGAGAGGACGGAGAGGACGAAGAGGGCGATTTAGGACCGAGCAGAGGCCACCAAGTCCGGATCACGCCCGGTAAATATTATTTTCACATAGATTTTCTGGATTGCTCCTCCCGTTAAGAACCTGGATACCGCCGTAAAATGTTCCTTCTTTCGCAGAGGTTCCGGCCAGAGACGGGGATGGCCACTTTCTCGCGAAAGGCGAGAGCCCCGGAAACAAAAGGCGCGGGAGATACCCTGCCTCGAGCCTCCGCAGATCCGGATACACAAAATTTTACCATCGATCAAACAATCGATCTGGCGGATTTTTGGGAGAAACCGCAAAGAGGCGCGCTCGTAGGAGTCTTCCCGACGACCAATATAGAGGAACAGCGGAACTCAATGCAGAAGAAAAGAGGAACGGCGAGAGAAAATTTGCATCAAGCAAATTCGCAGGGCCCCGCGGGGCACCCGGCGGCCCTGCCAGGATAAGGAGCGCCACGGGTGGAAAATGCCCAATTCATGATCGGCGTGATCCCGGCAGGCCTCTTGCTCGTCACTGTCTGGCGGAGCGTTGTCGAGAGCAGAGGTTCCTGCGCGTGGATGCCGAAGCATCAGAGGACCTATCGATACCGGTGAGACGAACGGCCCTATATTCTTGTAAAGCCGCTAAATTCTTTTTTTTTGTGAGTACCGAATTCGGGAAAGAAGCGTGTTACGGCCGCGGCCGGTTATTAGATTCACCGGTGTAATTTCGCGATATTTCGAGAGGTTTGATTTAGAGTTTCGTTCCGCGTGGAATTTATCCCGGCGCCCAACCGACCACGTGCTCTCTCCCGCACGTATATTAAGAGAGGCTCTTTCTCCCGCGGATACGCCGACAGTCATCGCGATTTCGTTACATTAATGTAGAACAAAAGTATCGTTTCGTGATTATTGTGTCGTTCTCGTCTGTTAGAGTTTCTATATCTGAGAATAAAAAATTGTCTAGAGTCACGCACCCGAAATAGCGTATTCTTTCTCGCGCATATCATTATCCGCGCAGTCTTCTGATCCTTTGTAAAATATTGCGAAGGACGACCGGCGTGATCGGTCGCAAAGGAAGTCGCGCGAGACCTACTACAGTTTACGGAGATTTTGTATTGCCTACAACCCTCAGAATTAATTACGCCGCGCGGACCTTATTAAGTCTCGTGCGTTAATAATTATTCGACACGTAGGCGTGCGAATTTACTTCCGGGTCCCGCGTGTCGTCCGATATCACCGCGTCGGGTCGTCTCAAAGGCGCGGAACAATAACAACGCGCCGCGTCTCGGCCGTAAATACGCTGCATTATATTGTTCGAATCAAATCACGGCCTCGCTTATTTGTATTTCGGCGTCACTAAAACGGAGATCCCTCCGTAGTATACCGAAAGAATATTGGTTTTTCTTTCTGGACCTAACAGGTCACTCAAGCTTTTATACAATTATTTTTCTGTCTATCTTCGTTCATCATTGTTCAAATATATTTAATGCTTGTTACATTTGAGCGATTTCAAATAGCCTCTCTCGAATCCCGTTCTCTCTCCCGTCCGAACTCCCCCCTCTACCCCCTGACAATCTGAGCGAGTCGATTATCGCCGTCGCGGAAATTTTCGGGATGATTTACTGATTATAAAGGTCATCTGTCGATTTGTAAATTTTCAGAGTGGCGCGAATCTCGCGCCTGGCGCCCAATTAAACATATTTTTCGTGTTTACGCGAATTTCCCGCTTTCCGCGCCGAAGGTGTGCCGTCGGCAATTTACATCGGCCCGATTTCCCGGATCCTTATCGATCCGACGGACTAATATAAAATCAACGGTTACAACGTATATTACCGTGTTTGCAATAAGTTTGCGCTACTACGAAGGAGCGCGGAAAACACAAGTTGTCGATATTATTTATTTCGACTATTGAGCGTTTCGCGATATTTTCATGCGTTAATGCAACGCGGCCGCGACCTGAAGGAACAACAATGTTGAAAACGTGTATGTTAAATTGCTCCGCGATATCGAGTCCTCCCGCGCTCTGTGCTACCGCGGTCACGAGACCCCAAATATCCTCGCGAGTCAAATCGCGCACCGGACGAAAGGATAATCCCGCGGGGCCGTGCAATAAATTCGGCGAATGATAAACCTACGTAATCTCCCGGTTCGCTTAAATTTATCGCATACGCGTGAATTTCGCAAAACGCATTTTCCAATGACCGATTAATATCGCCGCCTTCAGGTAACTCTCGTATCGCGAAACTCGCTTCTCTCCCGACTATCCCGAATCTTCTAAATCGCCGTGCGTTTTCTCTAATTAAATTAATATAATTAAATCTATCTTCGACTTGCCAGTGTTGCTGTTGTTGCTGTTGTTGCTGGTGTCGTTGCTCTTCCTCCTCCACCTCCTCTTCCCCCTTTTCTTCACCCTCCTCCGTCTCCCGGGAAATATCGCCGCGATTTTCTGCAGTGTTGTTCGCTCCACCGCCTCCGCCTTTTTGTACAAAAGAAAAAAAGAAAATTATAAAATTGAATATAAATTATATAAATTATACATATAAAGTATTGTTATATTGCTTTTATATTTTTATGCTCAAATTTAATCTTTTACACAACTATTGACATTATTATTTGACGAGATAACCCACCTTTTGGCGATATTCGGTCTCGAGTAACGCTTCCATGCTCTCGAAGCTAATACTCCGGAGAATAATCAATCGGTAAGCGTCGAATTACTAAGAATTTAAATTTATTTATTACATTCGAACATAAAAATTTTCGAAAAAGTAAAATAATTTGGTTACCCTGTCACTACAGGATCATCTTCTTCGCTCTCGTGATCTGTTTCTTCCACGAGAATTTCTTCTTCTTCTTCTTCTTCTTCTTCTTCTACTTCTTCCTCCTCCTCGTTTTCCTGCTCCTCAAACGCCTCCTCTTCTTCCTGCTCCTCAAGCGCTTCCTCTTCTTCCTCCTCCGGTTCCTCTTCCCGCTCTATTGATATTATTATAACATTAGAAATTTTGTTATAAAAATAATACATATATATTTTACAAGTTTTGTATATTCAAAGTCGGTCGTTTTTTGTAAACCTATATTTTTAAATATCACCTTACCTGGTGTAAATATCGCGCTATCCGCTGAGCTTACGACAATGATAGAATCGTCGTTGTCGTCGACATCGTCGTTAGCTTTGTGCATAACGCTGTTAGCATCATTGTCGTCGTCGTCGTCTGAAATAATATATTTATACATTGAGTTTCTTACTATATTTTTTATATTTCTTTTTAAAATATTTTATTATTTCTCTAAGATGTTAACTTACCCGTTATATTGATGACAATTGGAACCAGATTTTCCGCCGGCAGTATTCGGGCTCTCTCTAAAATATTTAATTTTTAACAGTAACCGTTATATATATATATATATATTTACAAATAATTATATATTTTACTCGCGTATAAACTTACGTGAGGGTCCTGCCTCGAGCTCTTCTGCCGCTCATCTCTTTTGAGAGGGACGAATTATCGCGAGATTTACTGGAGAGTTCGCTACGGATTCTTAATAACAATTTAAGTTTATAATTCAATCACCGGCACGTTAAAAGTATATAAAATAATTACCTCTTATCTCCATTCTTCGTTAGTTCGCCAGCAGATAGGCGGCATATCCGCCAACATCTTTTTCTTCGTGTCGCAAATCTTTGCGAAACGCAATAACTTCGGCGGCGATATTTAATAATTCCACATCACCCCCGAAATGCCCCAATCTGTACAGAACTCCGAGTAAGGAGTTTGAAATCGAATACGCTAATTTCTTGAAAATATTATAATTATTTTCCCGATCTTCTGTCAGGTGGGGCAGATACGTCTCCGGCTTTATCTCCCGCGATAAATTTGCTGCCAAATTTATACACGTAGATATCAGCATTTTCTGAGCCGACATTTTCACTCGCACTTAATTCACAACACGTGACAATATCACAAACATTTCAATTTTCTCGCTAGCGATTTCTCCGTTTTTCACGAAGGAGGAGGCGAAGAGTATTCTTAATCTAGTTTACTCACCTATCGGATAATGCTTTTTTTAAATTCTGGGTGTTTCTTAAAACTAAAATGTTTCTTAATTTGTCACCTACCTTCGGAATGTGCTTTTTCTTCACAAATAGGCGTGACAGAAAAATTTTTAGTTATTTCATTGGCGAGCGTCCATTTCCTTTGTGGCAAATATTTCAGATGGTGTTATTAAGTTTTACAACTAGTTTCTCAGTGTAATTCGGGAAATCGTAAAATATATTTTTTTTATTTTACGAGATACAATAAACTTCAAAAAATCAAAAGAATATATTTTTGATCCCGTCATATATTGGTGCATGTATTAAATCTCAGACCTTTTTTTTTTTGACGAAATTTAACGATACTCCAATCTTTATCCTAGTCACGCGTTCTCGAACTCGTAAATCCCTTGCTATATTTTTTAAGGATAAAAAATATTTTCAAATTAAATTCCCGAGCGTTTTCTTTTTGTTTAATACATGTTTGTTTAAACATAAGAATTCGATTTGACATGAAAAATTGATTTTTCGTTTATTCACTTATATACACAGATTTTTCTTTCGTCCTCTCGCGTTACATGATCTCGTTTCTAGAAATTTCTAAATATTTCTAGAAATTTTTTATTTAACGCGTACAGGACTGAACATAAAAAATCATAATTTTTCACGTAAAATACGCCTTTCCACTTTTATTTTTTAAATTTTTGCGGAAGAGGGAGAACGGTAATATAAGCGAGTCGACAAGCCGTTCTTTCGCATTTATTCGAGTTCGAGTGTGCAGAAATACAAGTTCAAGGTACGAAGAAAGAATTCCTCGCAGTTTTGCCATTTTACCGGGTTGTCCTGACTATTCGTGAAATTTTACAAGTAAAAACAATGGTTACGCGCAAGGAAGTGGCCGGCTTTGCAAAATCCGATCGCAATCGCGATATTCGCAAGATAGCTAACAACGGCGGCATCGACATCGATAACGCTAGAAGTCACGAACAACGTTACTTATTGTTATCGACGACGTACGGACTTATTTCTTCTCACACTAAGAAGATACATGTTGGATTGCAGTCGAAGAACGATGACGGCTTTATACCGATTGTTAAATTAACAGGCAATTACGCCGAAGGAATTTGTTTCGACGTCAACACGTGGCGTCAGTTTCAAATCAATATGGAACATATGAATCTATACTTGAATGAGAATCTAAAGATTAAACCAGATCCTATTATTATCGAGAATATTTCGATCATCTTCACTACTGCTTACGAAGCGAGGGCTGTACTGGTGGCATACAAGGAAAACAAGGATCATGCAACGAAAGGTAAAACGAAAGAAGAAAAAGAAGAAGAAGAAGAATCTCAACCGCCGTTGAAGAAACGAAAGACTTTCGCAGTTGCAATAGTGATGCAGAAAACTACTTTTCTCGGCTTGGAACATATTAGAAAATGCGTGGATGCACATTTGACGCAGCTAGTTTCCATAGTCGATACTGTTGTGCCTCGGGTGAGACACAGAAGGGATGTTGCCGGATTAAGAAGTGGACTTCTGAATCGTCGGGGTTTCTCCGTAGATTTTAGTCTTGTTTAATGTAGAATTACTTCTTTATTCAATATATATATATATATATATATATATGTATATTGGTATATAATCTTAACAAGACTCGGCGTATGGTTATTTATAAACCTCTGGTAACTTCGTTTCTCTTTTTCGTTCGTTTAACGTGACTCTAGATTTATCCTGACTTTAGCTAACGACTCGTCTGATTACGAGTCGGGAGTTATCCTCGATGTGTCTTGGTAGGTTGGTCTAATTCAACTCGCTCTCTGTTCACTCCCGAGTTCTTACGTGAACTCGGTTTTTCGTTATTTCATTTGGAAGGAGTGCCTGGCGACAGGCACCCGATTGGTGCATAGCTTTTGCATACGCGGCTAGATTTTGAGCTAAAAGCTGTTCGAAAGATGAAGCTCTTAGCTTGCGTCTTCGCGGTTTCCGGCCCGCTGCTGCATCAGCGGTCTCCATGCGGATTTTATATCCGTTAACTTGTAATTATAGCCTTTCGGGCTATAACAATACTGTTGATGCAACTGCGAGATATTTAATTAACGAAATAGAATTAAAACTTCCCTCGTCTTACATCGATCGTGAAATTATAAAATTTATTATCAAAGGCAATTATCAGGAAATTGAACGTAATGTACAAACGCAAATAAATAACTTAACATTTTTAGATGTTTACTTTAACATTGTATTTGTAGAATTACTTACGCTTCGATTTAATGAAATTTTCCGTATTATTTTGCTAAAACGCAAATTTTAATTTTTATTAAAAAAATATCACTAATAAATGAAACTGTTTCTATCTTAAATCTGAACATTTTCTTTTATTCTCCTCCTCTTCCTCCTATAATATTGTTTCCTTGAGTTTTACTGCGAGAGTAGAACATTGCACTGTAGTTTGATCCTCGAGCGTTAAAAAACAAGCTTATTATTTCCGTCACAAGCGAATAGCATAGGGAAAAGCACCGCGTACATAAGCTCATTAGCAGCGGTGGTCGGAAAAACGCTGGTGCAAGCTCACCCCCGCAGAAACGCTTACTCGCGTCACCCCGCGGCAACGTATTGGCTAAAATTCACCACGGTATTCGCTCGTACGCGCGTAAGAAAACGCTGGCGCGAGCACGCAGCCGCCGCGGATGGAGCCCCGGAGTGTAAAGATAAGCTTATATCCTCCCCCCTCGCCAAACCTTCTCTTTAATATTTTTAAAAAAATCACGCGACACTTGCGTACATATTTAAACACATTTACACTCACACTCACACACACACACACACACGCGCGCGCGCATTTGCTCATGCATTTACACTCTCACACACGCACTCGCACGCGTGCGTAATAATTACTAAATTTCACGCAGCAATTTTTTTATTTATGAACTCGTAAATATAACCTAAATTAATCATTTCGCGAAATGGACGCGCGCTGGAAACATCCGTGGACGTCGATCGTCTGCGGACCTACGAAATGCGGAAAAACGATTTTCGTGAAAACTTTTCTTCGCCACTTATCCGACATGTCCAATGTTCGATTCGAGAGAATTTTATTTTATTACGCCGAATGGCAGGATGCGTGTCAACGTCTTCAATGCGACACGAGTAAAAATAAAGAAGAAGAAGTTACAAATGATGTACATAGGAACGGATACGGTAATACTCTGTTAAAATCGAAGAAAAATATAATCAAATTTCGCGAGGGGTTACCACGACCGGAAGATTATTCGAGCGATCCGCTATCTCCAAAATTAGTTATAATCGACGACCTTATGAGAGAATCGTCATCGTGCGACACTATCGTAGATCTATTTACTAAAGGAAGTCACCATAAGAATCTCAGTGTTATATCATTTCGCAAAATCTCTTTCATCAAAGCCGAGGCCAGCGGGATATATCTCTCAACGCTAATTATACGAGTATAGTAATTTTCAAAAATCCGCGCGATTGCGCTCAAATTTGCCATCTCGCGCGTCAAGTATATCCCGACGATTCAAAATTTCTGGAAGAAGCTTACTACGATGCTACCTCACGACCTCATGGATATTTATTGCTTGATCTGAAACAATCGACTCCAGACGAATATCGATTTCGCACATGTATTTTTCCCAACGATACGACACATTACGTCTATATTCCTCGTAGATCGATAAATAGAACAGTAACGGAAAACGTATAAAAGGGTTGCATTTACACGTGAGACTTGTCAGTTACGCAATTTTATCGTAATGGTAACACACGAAGAAAAGGACAACAAAAAGAGACGTCGACGTCGTCGAAAAAATTCGGTCGCAATAAAGGTCGCCAGGCGTTCTATCGGTGAGAGAAACGCCTGCCTTTTGAAAACTCTTTATTATATGAAAAAAAAAATCAAAGGACGTCATTTTTACGTACTGCCGACAATAATCTCATAAAGTGTATTCAAGAGTGTGTTTATAATATGCTCGAGGGAAACATACCGCTCGAAAATCATGAAGTCACGTTTAGCCAAGCATAAATCTATCCTTCGACGCATCGCAGTAAAACGGGGCAATTGGAAAACTACAAAAAATTTGTTGGTACAACGCGGGATGCTCCGTTGTTAAGCGCTATATTAACCAGGGTTATCGGTGAATAAAAAATATATAGCGCTATAAATATCGATTTCTCTCTGGGTTAGAAAAAAGTTATAAAAATATTTGACACGTTCGTTTGTCATACGGAAAAATGGAGAGAGCGAAAAAAATAGTACTGATTTCTATGGAAAATCTCGAAAGAATGCGGCAAATGCAACAACGTCAAATACAGCCGGAAATAACGGAAACATTGTTGAATAATTCGCCAAAGAAAAAAATACAACGATAACGAATGAGGAAAATGATAATAATAGTAATTTCAGCGTACGAACTCCTGGAACCCCTTATCGCGACTTGACGCGGAAATGTGGCGTATTCCTAACCTCACGACTCCCCGCGATGAAGGCAAAAGATGGAAATTGTATAAAGAAGTACTTCAGCGCTATCTTCATTTTGTCCGAGAAGCGAAAAAGCGCTTACGC